AAGGGGTGTAAGGTTGGCTAAGTGTTCAATATATAGGGTCGAGTGTGAGGCTGGAGGGGGTGTGCGGCTGGGTGGCCTCACACGCGGGTGTGCGGCCGCACACACCTTCTTTGGTGTGTTTGGCCCGATTTTGTGATGCTACACACTTTCTAACCCTTCCCAAGACTCATACCTAGGTTATACTAAGCCTAGAACACTCATATAGACCCACAATTTCGTTAAAAGATAGCAAAACGAAGGCTGACACTCGGCTGAGTTGAATAGCTGAACTTTACAGGATAATGATTTTCGGGTTGTCACAAAAGTTCACGTTTCACTCGTGTAATCTGATGGTTGTTACCAGGTAATGTAAGGAGGTTAGAGGATACTTATGTTAAAGAGCATAATGAAAGATCTATATGTTCAAGAATCGTTGTGTAATGATATTGTCTAATAGCATGTGATCTTATAGCGTCACACCTTATAGCAAGTAGACACTTATTAACTGTTTATTAATTAATTTGATTATTAATAAGTATTATCAACTCTTGTAATTAATTAGAGAAATGTATATAGTACATCTCACCATGACACCTACAACGATGTATAGGAGGAACATAAAGAGTTTGAAGTGGTCAAAAAACAATAAAGAAATACTTAGTCTATCATTCTATTCGTAGAAATTATCACCAAATGTATTTGCTTTGTTTATAATTATAAATGATTTGTTAATAATAATATTCATTAATTTCATAGTAATTTTCAGAAAAGTCTCAATATTGCTGTTATTGAGTATTTTTTAAAAAAAGTCTTACTATTTTAACCAAACTAACGAAAAAGGACAGAATACCGACTAAATCTGCAAAACCGGCCAAACAAGGTTTTTTCAAAGTTTTAACCGATATTCTGTTGTAAACAAAATTTAGTTTGTGACTTTTTCATAAATTGAACTAAAATATTAGGACTTTTCTCAAGATTTTCTTATTTTATAAATTGTTTGATCCCTTGATATATTTTAAAGTTATTTTTTTTTAATTTACATCATTTTTTTTATAGTTTTCGGCTTTATTATTATTATTATATATATATTAAAGTTATGAAAAGTTTTAATAGTAAAGTGACACCATTTTTGTCAATTTTGGTCCTCCAACTTACAATATTGACCCTTCATCTTTATTCTTTTGTTCACAAACAACCCTTTCACTTTGGTTTGAATTTTTCATAACCCTCGCCTTTTATAACACATAATTAGTATTTAGTCTTTTGGCAGAAATGGTCCCTCATCATTATTATTATTATTGTTAGACAAAATTACACGATTGGTCCCTGTGGTTTACCAGATTTAACATTCTCTTTTTGGTTTTAAGTTAATGTTTTATTTATTAGAAAATACCAATGTTCTAAAAAGCTCGTCATGGCTCCGCCATGGCGCGACATGGCTCCAAGGCTTGTGTCTGCCGCCAAGTTTTATCAAAACGCCGCCTTAACTGATATATGTGTATAAAATGAAATAATAGTTGAAAATACATATAAAAATATTAATCATATACAAAATTGACGCCTTAAGTCACGACTTACAAACGACGTGGCTTGCCAAGGCTCGAAAAAGCTTGAGGCTTGACATTGCCGCCAAGTCACGCCTTACGTTATTTAAAACATTGGAAAATACTCACCCAATACCATAAACCCACCCACCATCTGCCATCACCCCCATCACCACCACCGCCAAAATTACATAAATGGTCCATATGATTTACCCATGGTGACAAATTCAGTCCCTACTACCTGAAAAGACCAAATTACACTCACATTAACGGAAAAAACAACCAACATGCTACTTTACTTTACAAAGCAATACCTTCCGACCCCGGCAATACCGGTGAATCTTTTCTAGTTATTATTATTATTATAGTTTCTCAATTAATTGTCATTTATGTTTCACCAAGATATATTTTTAAATTTTATTTTTGTCCGCAACCTCCATACATATTTTTTTTGTATCGAAACTATATTTTGATAATTTTATAGCCACTTGATATGGTATAATTGTCACGGTTTTATATGTAGTTTTGAAATTTGGAAATGAAATGCTAAGGAGTTCTTCGTCACAAAGCACACGGGAACTAAATACTAGTTTTAATTGTAAATTATAAATATACTTTTATACTTCAATTTCATTAAATTTATGATTACGTAGATATTCATGAAACTAGGCTTACGATAAACTAAATTTACAAACGAAATATGTAATTACATTTGGTCATAAGTCAAACACAAGTATTTTCTTACGTGTGACTATGGTACATATTCTTTTGACAACATATAACGACATACTGATGACATTATGACCTCTTATATATATAACTGATATTTGAAAATTCAAAATTAAACTAGCACAAATAGAAAAAGATACCTTTCTCTGCTATAAATTACATCATCACCTTCCCAATTAACTGCCCAATTGTATACAAGAGTGGAAAGGTACCAAGAACGAGATAACTTCCATGATGATGAAGAAGTGGGCATTCCAGAGGAACTCAGAACAGAAGACTACCTCGGAGACACCCACAAGCAGCGTTCTGACTAAGCTCATGTCAAATCTCAATCAATCTGACCGCAGACCTATCATCCCTATGGCCCAAGGCGAACCATCTCTCTCCCCTTGCTTCCGTACCATTCAGATGACCGCAGATGCCATTGCTGAAGCCGTTCATTCAGCTAAGTTTAACGGTTATTCCCCCACAGGTGGGCTTCTCCCAGCCCGAAGGTACGTACTCCAATTCTTCTTTCACTTGCAAGTTCTTCATGCCAACTCTTTTAATAGTTTTGTGTACGAGAGTTGTAGATAATATGTAAAATGTAGATTGGCTAACTAAATCTTGTTTTATTCAAGGAATATACTCGAATAAAACAAGCTGATAGACCAAATTAACATACTGCTATGATCACTATGAGTCGTTGAAATTTCAGAAAAATTACAGTTGTAATTATTCCAAGGCAGAAAAGTATACTAAATTTATTGCATGGGGTTACATGTGACATAATTTAGTAAGTGCAAAATTAGAATTTGCTATAGCCTTCTCTATCTCCTTTTCACGATTCATTAGTAACACTGAAGTCGTTATGTACCATCAATTTTCCCATGACAATGATTTGGTTAAGTATTAATGAAATTAATGGTTAAGTATTAAATCTAGACAGTTATATATTTATGATTGTTTTTTTTATCGACTTAACGGATTAATTCAAAATGCATGGCTTAATGTATTAGAGGTTAAGTATTTACCTAATTTATCTTCTTTTTTTTGTCAAAATTCTTGTCATGTTAAAATTGATGAATATATATTGTGAAATACTGAAATGTACTGCTAAAAGGCCTTTTCACACGTTTATGCTCTAGAAAAAGAAACTATATATCTTATATATTAATCCTCTATTTATCTATAACTAACTCGTTTAAAAAAAAAAAAAAAAAGACAACCTACACATGCTACTGTTGTAATAGTTGTGTATTACTGTCGGATTTGTTAATTCCAAATCCGGAAATAATTCCTCAGCTTGATATAGTCGATGTCTTTTTTAATGAATACGTGCTATCAAGAAAGGATTATGTTGCATGATACCATGCTCGAAGTATTGTCTTTTTTATATTCTCCTTATTATATATGTAATTTTTTTAATCAATATCAATTATTCGTATATTATTGGTGAGATTGTGAGTGTTATAGTCAATATTTTTTTAATGCATAATGTTTTCTAGAAAGGATTATGTTGCATGTACCACGCGTTAAGAGTGGTTAGATGAGATAATTGCACTTATATGTTAATGTGTTTCTTTTGTCTATATGTATATATTGGAGAGCTGGATAAGGTGTGATTCATGCTTCTCATTTGTAGGAATTTTTTTATGCCTACCCCTTCCTAGAGTTGGTGGAGACCGGAGAGTCTTGGCGAAGTGTTTAATTTTTTAGTCTTAATAAACAAGTAACAATAATAATATAGCTATAGATATTGGAATAGTTTGGGTGAAGAATGTTAAAACCGAAGTATAAAAACAGAAAACGAAATTTGCATACAACTATACACGAAAATGAGGACATGATAATATCACCACCCTTAAGGATAATTTGCCCCCAATATTTTGCTGTTGATTTATATGGCAAAGGCTTTGAATAGTTGCAATGGTTAATGAAAACCGAAAAAAAAATGTCATTTGTTTTTCCTCCAAAATAACTGAAAAACTGTCAAGTGACGATAAAACTTAAAGGTATGTGAGGATCAAAATGTAAGAATTTTTATGTATACGTGCAAAAGGTGAAATATGCTAGGTGCTAAGTACTAGTCTTCGATAATTAATATATACTACTAATTGCCAAGAACCCATTAGATCTAATCACTATATGATAATGACCAAAAACACGTTTTATGAAAATATTGCACAATTTACTTTAATACTAGTAAAACTCATCTTACTTTGACTCTATAAATTTTTTTAGGGCTGTAGCAGAGTACCTTTCTCAAGGACTTACAAATAAGTTATTACCAGATGATGTATTCTTGACAATGGGATGCAAACATGCTGCTCAAAACATACTAACCGTTCTTAAGGGTTCAAAATTGAATAATATTCTATTTCCCAAACCAGGCTTTCCATATTACGAATTCCTTGCTCGATCATGCCATTTGGAAGTCCGTCACTTTGACCTTCTTCCTGAGAAAGACTGGGAAGTTGATCTTGATTTAGTCGAATCTCTTGCAGATGAAAATACAGTTGCCATGGTTATTATTAACCCTGGAAACCCTTGTGGGAATGTTTTCACACACCAACATCTAAAGAAGGTGCAATGCCCATGTGGATTTATTAATTTGTTTTCCATGATTATCATTGTTGATGTGTTTTCTATATGTAGGTTGCCGAGACTGCAAGGAATCTTGGAATATTAGTGATTTCGGATGAAGTTTATGATCATATTGCTTTCGGGAAAAATCCTTTTGTTTCAATGGGAAACTTTGGATCAGTAGTCCCAGTTGTTACACTTGGTTCCTTATCAAAACGGTTCATTGTTCCTGGTTGGCGACTTGGATGGCTTGTTACCCATGATCCTAACAACATTCTCAAACAACACGGAGTGATCTCTCTTTCTCACACAAACATTAATACATATATGCTTTAAGCAAACTCATAAATGCATCGCTCTAACTTCAAGTTTTATTTTCAGATTATTGAAAGCATTAAGGGATATTTCCATATGTCCTCCAACGTGCCAACGTTTATTCAGGTATCTTATTGATGCTATGTACTTTATACTTCATCCAAAAAAGTCACCTTTATATTCCTTCTACACTCATTGTTGGGGCAAAGAGAGTAAGTAGAAATGAAAGTTCAAAAATTAAATCTAATATTTATAGTTAACACCGAGAACGTTCAAAAATTAAATCAAAAATTAAATCTAATATTTATAGTTAACACCGATAGCTTTTTAAATTATCAAGTCAAACTTCAGATCTTAATTAATGCGCATTTAGTTTTGCATAATGATTTACTTGATAAGATCTCTAAGTTTGTTTTACATGTAGGGTGCGCTTCCTGATATACTTGGCAAAAGGGAAGACCATATCTCCTCGAAAAATGTTAATATAATTAGAGAAGCTGCAAATTCTTGTTATAAGGGAATTATAGACATCCCTGGTGTAAGTTGCCCGAGCAAGCCTGAAGGGTCCATTTTTATTATGGTAAGGAGATGATGCAAAATTTTTATAAAGAATATAGATTCGAAGAGCTCAAGGAGGTAGATGCAAATTTTATAAATTTTAAAGATAATAGATATGTTAAGTTGCTATTTATGATATGAATTGTTTCATTAAAGTTTATGTACAAATGCTCTCCTTGCCCACATATGAGAGTAGGTACACTTGGTGTTTGTCTTACTTGTTTTTTTTTAATGTTTATAAGGTGAAATTGGATATATCAGCGTTTAAGGACATCAAGGATGATTTAGACTTTTGTGTCAAGCTCGCTAAGGAAGAATCAGTTCTAATCCTACCAGGTAATTTTTACATTAATCTTTTCCCTATAAAGATCTTTTAGTAGTTCATCTTCCATGGGTACCTAAAAGGACAAAGGCACAAAGCATCCTTAATTGGATCTTGAACTTCAAAACCATGTCCTAATATTTACTCGAACACCAATGAAATTATTTCCTGAAAATATAAGAATTTTTCTATGGTGAATATGAAAACTATTTTTTGACCTTAAAGGCCGACATTTAAGTTATTCCTACCCAACTTTGCTACTTTTTTTTTTCCCTTCAGGGATAAGTGTAGGACTCAAGAATTGGCTTCGGGTAACAATTGCTATCGATCCATCAGCTCTTGAGGATGCCATCAAGAGGCTTAAATCTTTTTGTGGAAGGCACTCCAAGAAATCAATAAGTGTTGAATGCTGGTTGGATCATATTTCATAATCTCCAGAGTCTCCAGTGGAGGAAATTTGTGGATCAAA